CCTGCCCCAGCTCCGTTGCCCTTCTCTGGCCACGCTCGAGTCATTCAATGGCCTTTTTGGGGTGAGGGGCCCAGAACTGAACCCCCTCAGCGAGGGGCGGCCTCCCCAGTGCCGAGCCCAGGGCTCAGATCCCTTCCCTGTCCCTGCTGGCCACGCCAGTGCTGACACCAGCCAGGATGCCGTTGCCCTCCTTGGCCCCTTGGGCACACTCTGGCTCCTGTCCAGCCGGGTGTCGATCAGCACCCCCAGTCCCCTCCTCTTGCCCTCTGCCAGCAGCATCAGGCTCTGAAAGGGCCACGGCTCGGGGTTCACAGCGCTGGTGTGCCGGCCCCGCCGCAGTGTGGGTGAGGGCTGAGCCGTCTCCCCGCCGGCCCCCGGCAGTGGCCGCCCCAGCAGCGCCCTGGCTGTGCCTGCACTGGGAGCACTGGGAGGCTGCTGGGGCTCGCTGGAAGGCTGCGGTCAGCAAGGCCAGCTGGCCGCATCGCTGCCTGGCCGTGCCGGGCTTTGTGCGGAGCACGTGGAGCCTGTGAGCAGGGGGAACAAGGAACAGAGGTGCTTTGTGTGTCTGCAGCAGGAACTGGGCCACGAGCGGCCCGTCCGTGGCCTGTAGCGCGCTGGGGGTGCTGCGTGCCTGCGCCTGCGCCCACAGCTGCCCCACGCCGCAGCAGGATGCTGCCCGCCGGCCCCTGGCAGCCCCGGAACAATCCCCCTGTTCATCTGCTGCCGGCAGCTCCGGGCAGCCTCTGCCCACGCTGCCAGGCTGGCGGGGGGCAGCGCGGGGCGGGGGTCTCTGTGCTGTTGAGCCCTCTCAGAGCCGGGGGCCTTTGGGGCAGGTTTCACCCGGGCCAGGGCCAGGGCCCGGCAGTGCTGCCTGGGCGCTGCGGTGGTGCCCTCGAGGCGGGACTGGCAGAGACCCCACCGCAGGGTCGGGGCTGCCGCGGTGGGGGCTGTGCTGCATGTGGTGTATGCAGAGCTGCTCTCGGGGGGTCCTGGGGTGCAGCTCCGTGACCTCGGGAGATGGAACTCATCAGACAGACCCCGGGGCATCAGGGGTTGCCCCCCTGTCTCTGGCTTTGGTTTGTCTGGACCTTCTAATTTGTGGTGTCCAATGTGACTGTGACCATCAGCCAACAGCCCCGCGTCCCAGGGCAGAGCAGCGACGAGCGGCGTCCTCAGGGGTCAGGGCTGGGACCAGTTGAACACCTTTGCTGGGGACACGGACAGTGGGATGGAGCCCCCTCAGCACGTTCCCCCCGACACTGAGCTGTGTGTGGGGAACACGCTGAGGGAAGGATCCAGCCAGAGGGACCTGGGCAGGCTGGGGAGGGGGGACGGGCCAACCTCAGGGAGTTCAGCGAGGCCAAGGGCAAGGTCCTGCCCACAGGCTGGGGCAATCCCCAGCACAAACCCAGGCTGGGCGAGGAGGGGATAGAGAGCAGCCCCCAGGAGAAGGACTTGGGGGGCTGGGGCGTGGAAAATGGCCTGTGAGCCACCAAGGGGCGCTGGCAGCCCAGAAAGGCCCCGTGTGCTGGGCTGCACCCAGAGCAGGGTGGGCACAGGGCGAGCGGGGGATTCTCCCCCTCTGCTCCGCTCTGGGAGACCCCCCTGCAGGACTGGGTCCAGCTCTGGGGCACCAACATAAGGACAAGGGATGATGGGTTTAAGCTGACAGAGGGCAGATTTAGGTGAGCTATAAGGGAGAAATTCTCCCCTGTGAGGGGGGTGAGGCCCTGGCACAGGCTGCCCCGAGAAGCTGTGGCTGCCCCCTCCCTGGCAGGGTTCAAGGCCAGGTTGGACGGGGCTTTGGGCAACCTGGGTTGGTGGAAGGTGGTCGTGCCCAGGACAGGGGGTGGCACTGGATGACCTTTAAGGTCCCTCCCAACCCACACCAGTCCATGTTCAGATACAGGGTGTGATGCTCCCCCACAGCTGATGGGAATTGGGGTCCACTTGGGGGTCCCCATCCACACAGGCTGGGGCTTTGCTGCACTGCCCGATTCCTGGGCAGGGCCGTGGTGGCTGCAGTTCTCCACGGGGGCTGCAGCAGAGACGACCCACGCGTGGGCAGCACCTTCCCGCGGGGGGCCAGGAGCCGTGGGCAGCGCTGTCTGACCCCTTCCTGGCCTGGCAGGTGAATCAGGGGAACATGCCGGGCATCCAGAGCACCTTCCTTGCCATGGACACCGAGGAGGGCGTGGAGGTGGTGTGGAACGAGCTGCTCTTCACCGACAAGAAGGCCTTTAAAGCCCACGAGGTGAGCTCTGGGGGCACAGACCGCGGCTGCACTCCCCGGGTCCCCGCTGTTGGTGCACACCCCGGCCCATTGGCAGGGCTAATCCCAGCCCGCCGTGCTTTCCCTTGGCTTCCCTCTCAGAAGCAGCTCCAGTTGTCCTCTGTGCCCCACAAACAGCTTTTCCTGTGAGCAGGGGCACAGCCTCCTCCCCAGCCCCCAGCTCCTCTGCTCCCGGCGGCGTCCCGCAGTGTCCCAGGAGCTGCCACCCCACCTGTCCTTCCTCTGCCCGCAGGAGAAAATCAAGACCATGTTTGAGCAGCTGGTGCTGGTGGATCACCCCAACATCGTCAAGCTTCACAAATACTGGCTGGACGTGAAAGACCTGAAGGCACGGGTAGGGAGGTCTCAGCAAGATGAAGCATCCAGGGGATCTCTGGGCAGCGGGGGGATGCTGGTGGGGGTCAGGTGTGGACCCCAGCGCTGCTCCTCACGCCGCTCCCCGGGACTCCCCTTCCCTCCCTGGGACACCCTTCCCTCCCCGGGCCGCTCTCAGCTGCGGGCGGTGCACGGAGCTGGCAGTGCAGGGAGGGGGGAAGCTGACACCTCTCTTCCCTGCCAGGTCATCTTCATCACAGAATACGTGTCTTCAGGGAGCCTGAAGCAGTTCCTGAAGAAAACCAAGAAAAACCACAAGGCCATGAATGCCAGGGTGGGTTCCGCGGGGGCACACGCGGGTGAAGTGAGGGGTTCTGTGTCTGCGGGCACAGAGAGGGTCTCTGGTCCCGGAGCACGCGGGCACCACTGCTCCCTGTTACCCAGGGACCCGCTGAGGGAGATGGTGTCTGGGTGAGGGCTGGAGCAAGAGCAGAACCCCCCCAGGACAGCCCAGAACGGATCCTGCTGGCGGGATCTGACCCCGAGGAGGGAACTCGCTGGAAGCGGCTGCAGCGAGGCGAGGCTGCGCGATGCCACTGCTCCCGGGGCTGCATCGTGCTGCAGGGGGCCGGCGCCTCCACCGCCCTCCGCCAGGGACAGTGGGCTTGTGGCCAGGCAACTGCTGGCACCTGCAAATCCGCCCAGTCTGGCTCTGACTAATGGTTCTGCAGGCAGGACTCACTGGCTGTGGCTGAGGAGCTGCGTGGCCATGCTGGGGGCCCCATGCTTGACCTTGCAAGCCCTGCCCTGAAGTCTGAGCTCAGTGTCACAGCAGCACAGTTAGGCCCTCCTAGAGCTGAGCCTCCCTGTCGCTGTGTCCAGAGAGAACCATGCTGATGGGCCCACAACCACCGCTGGCTCTGCCCCCGCGGCAATGTGCCCGTCCCTGCTGCCCCCCAGGTTCTGGGGCTCAGGAGAGCCCTGGTGAGGGCGAGCTCCCAGCTCTGACGCCGTCCCCTGAACAGGGTTGGAAAGGGCACTGCTGTGGCTGGCACAGTGTGGGGCTCAGCTTTGAGTGAGGCTCTGCAGGGCTGGTGGGTCATGGGTGGGAGTGACCCGGTCCGGCTGCGGCGGGCGCCTCGTCTGATGGTGAGTTCTGCTCTCTGCTCTAGGCCTGGAAGCGCTGGTGCACTCAGATCCTCTCGGCTCTCAGGTGAGCTCCCGGCGCTTGCGCCACGCGCGGCTCCTGGGCTGGGCTCGTGCTCAGGGCAGGTTTGTGCCTCCCCAGCTTCCTGCACTCCTGCGAGCCGCCCATCATCCACGGCAACCTGACCAGCGACACCATCTTCATCCAGCACAACGGGCTCATAAAGATCGGCTCAGGTCGGAACCTGCTGCTCCGCTCCTAGTGGAGCCAGGAGAGTCAGCGGGAGGGGGCTGCCCGCTTGGGGACGTCCCGGGTGGTGCGGGGTGGCGTGACGAGGGGGTTTGGCTGGGTGGGAGAGGCGAGGGCTCAGTGTGGCTCAGGGGATCACCTGGGCTGGGCTTGGAGAGAGATCTGGAGGGGCTGGAGCGAGGGCAGAGGAGGGCAACGAGGCTGGGGAAGGGCTGGAGAATCAATCCTGTGAGGAGCCAGGGAAGGAGCTGGGAGTGTTCAGGGTGAGGAGGAGGAGGCTGAGGGGAGCCCTCATCCCTCTCTGCAGCTCCTGACAGGACATTGCAGAGAGGCCGGGGCTGGGCTCTGCTCCCAGGGGATCAGGGACAGGACAAGAGGGAACGGCTGGAAACTGCCCCAGGGGAGGGTCAGGCTGGGCAGGAGGAGAAAATGTTTCCCAGC